CAAAATAGATGTTCGGGAAAATATGCTTCAGTGTAAGTCGTTTTAAATTGTTCACTGTCCATTAGGTCTATTAACGATTTAGAAATTGTAAAACTGTCTATCTATGTTTGAATCTCTGAAAATTCAATAATAAAAATAATGTATAAAACAACAAAAAAAGGGGTGATACCATCCTTTCAATTCTTTTACCTAGTATTTTCCACCCTCCCACTTAATTTTTTTTTAATTATCCATCCTTCTTAGATTTTTAAAAAAATGAATTGTGTTAAAATTTATATAGTTCTTATAAACGATGTAAACTTTTTTTTGTTTTGAAAAATAATTTATTTTAAAATTTGAATATTATAATTTTTAAAGACACACATTTTGTGTAGAATTAAGTGACTAAAAGTATTCCTTTATTTATATTTACTTATATACTTAATATATTATTATAAGCAAGTTAAATAAAAGCTAGTTTTATGTTTGCTAATTTTATTTTATTTTTTAAGCCACGACTATGTCGGTTGTACAAGTAAAAATACATCCATGATCCATTTCATTTTTATATGAAAACTCAAATTTTAGGAATTTACTGGATTAATTCTCGTGAACTTAACGTTTTAAGTATTTCAATTATTTTCAAACACACGCTAAATGTATTTTAAGGTACATATATATGTATAGGTATATATACATATATATATATATACTTATTTTAAACTACATATTTATATGAAATGATATCAATTATAATTTTAAGAGCGAGATCAAGCACTTGCATATGACACAATCATATTTTGTTGACTGTTTTAATTAATTTTCATTATTCTACAACGGAAGAGACGGGTTTTCCCGGTATCTTAAACACAAATGAACCCAATGCAAAATTGTGAAGTTTTTTAATTATTTATTTTCTGTGGTGTTGATATAATCTTTTGGGAACCCGCGAAGGAAGAATACGGCACTATTGTTTATTATCAGTTAAAATAAGAACTAAAAACGGCTAAGTCACGCGCCACTATTGCGGTTATATTTTTACTTTTAGCCGTTATTATATTACCGGGTTTAAGCGTTTTCTTTGATTTGACAAAAGCAATATAATAATTTTTTTTATGTGTTTACCGTTAACAACGCCGCGTCTCGCATGATATTTTTTTTTTTAGTTAAAAATATTTGGTTAAGTCTTTGTCCGGCCACAAAATATAGGACTGAGCGTTGCGGGAACGCTTAAACGGTTGATTTTACATTGGTTGTCTTGGAATAATTTCATTTAATCCGTTTTGTTCCTTGCAAAATTGAAGAAAAATTAAAAAAACTGACAATAACAGTCAAGTTGATACTTAAACGCAATACAATACTCGTCTTAGGCTTGTGAACTCTTCTTCGCATGTTTTCACTGATCATATTATCTTTTATTGGAGCCATATCCGTACACATAACAGTATATACTTATAATTATTCTAAACAATTTTACTTGCATTATGTAATAAAACAATTAGCGTACTATAGATAATTGTATAATTTATTTTTATTTTTAACTACAAAATTATATTAAATTTTTCGAGCTGTCTCAAGAGTTCTGTTTAACGTTAATGAATTCCACAATATTATTGGTAAGACTCATTAGGGGAAGTTGGCAGAAAAAAAAAGTGCAAAACTAACAACGATGACGTTTATTAGGTTAAAGTGTACATTACTGCATAGTTTAAACTTATTCAGGACATTCTCGTCTAAATAATTTCAGAGAAAATACACTACAAAGTTAACGATATCTTAAACTACCTAAGTAAACTTCGTTGCTAGTTTCGCATGGGAATTTCTTGCCGAGCGCCGTCTGTAACGTCTAACGAGTTGAATGCGAATTTTCTTTTAAAATAACAACAGTCGTGATCGTATAAGATTGCAAAGAGAAAATAAAAATAAGCGAATTGTGCAATGGGCAGAGAAATGTTCTAAATCGCAACATTTTCATCCAATTTATGTCGAACAAATTAATTTATAGTAGTTGAAATTCAAACGAAACAGTGATGTTATTTTCTGTTTCTATTCTCGTTTGACGAGGTAATTAAAATGTCTGTTCACATGAATTTTAAGTATAACCGCGTCAAAACCCATCTTCAACATGAGTATTACTGTACCTAATGTGGTACTTCTAGAGTTTATTGTGCTTGCTGTTTAATTTACTACACTTTTGATCACCTTCCTCACTTGTCAGAAACAATACGTGGCAAATAGTTCACAATACATATGTTTAATCTGGGGTTTGTTTCTTATTAGGTGTCCAAATTGTTCGCATGGATTATGTTGTCATTATGATTTTATCATCGAAATGTGTTTAACGGTTGATCAGAATACAAAAACTCCCAGAATTGTTTTTAAATTATAAAGCATACAACATGGTTTACAGCAAGTCCCTATCAAGTATATCAATCACTATTCTCATCACTTTTTTTATTTATCTCTTATCTGCTGATTTATCCTTTTTTCTCTTTCTTCATGATCCTCCCCCTTGTTTTTATGTCAGTTTTGACGGGCTTGTGACAGCAATAATATATTATGAGTCAACATGCTATGAAATATTATGTTTGTTTTCTGTTGGTCCGTAGCAAAATAAAAGTGTTAGGACTTTTTAAAATTTTCTCAAGCTTCCATACAATTTCATAAACTGGACCGACAAGGTTTTTTTAAAATTAATATTGTAAAACTAAAAGAGTTCTGAACGATCCTGATTTCCCACGATTAGTTCTTTGTGTCAATTTATATGTATTTTTTTTTTAACATTTACTGCAATCAGATTGACTCGTTAGTGCCTCGAATCGTGTCCTTTAGTTAGTTAGTACCTGCTCAAATATCATCGTCGTGTAGCATCCGTTGAATTGATGGACATATCAGGTGACGCTGTCACCATGAAATACAATATTATACCGTTGATGTTTACACAAGGTATACCCAAACTGTTCTAGCTGTTTACACTATCGAACAGTGTACACAAAAAGATGCTATGATACGGTGATAGTGTTTCATTTACCTTTGACATGCTATAGCATGGATTTCTCGGTCGACACCAATGAAATCGCATCGGTACTATTTACACTACAAGTATAATGTATAGGCGTCAAACTTATATTTACACAGGTTATCTCCATAGACTGTATGGAAAGCGAGTGAGTGACGACAGTGCCGGTAAAGTTATCGTTACAATATATATATATATATATATTATTGATTTTCCTTTTGGCAAACAATAAGCGAAAACCGCGAACCGGGACGAGACGTTTCCGGTAATACAATTCGGGTGGTCAATTTCGGTTTTCGGAAAAGATTTCCAAACCGTCGATATGTACAGCTGTGGCGCCATACCGATAATAATTAGGCAAGGTGGGGAACGCATAATTTGAAAAGCGAACAACATAGGAGAGAATAAGGAAAATATAAATCTTTATAGTTTGCAAAACGCATTTGCCTTTACGACCTATACAATATGTTGTTAATGCAAATAATAAAACATAATATGCCTCTCTTTAAAACAAAAATATATCACTCATCATTATTTTTATTTATAATATCTTAAATTAAATCATTAAAGTTAAACAATTTCTACAGATGATATTGTTTTAATACAATTTCTCTCGAAATTAATCTTTTGAGTTAATACGACAGTAGTTGAACAACTGGAATTTAACACCGGTTTACAAACAGATGTCACCAACTTCTTACTAAATGTTTTTCCTAGTTTCTTTTTTTATACACTTATCATTGGCTTTATGGAAATTTGTTTTTTAGTTATCAAATAACAGAGATTTCCAAGGAAATGTCCTTTTTAGAACAAAACGGTTTTATTAAAACTTAAATATTGTCAGTCAGTGAACAGGTGTGGTCCAACTAATAGTATAAAATATATTTTTTTAAGTACTTATATTATCCAATATTATGCTGTATGAAAGAAATGAGGCCTCTAGTGCAATAATGGACGAACACCAAAACCCATTTTATTTTATTTTTGTTCTTAAAAATATATTATCTTATAACTTAAAAAAAGCAATAACAGTTTGGTGCTGGGTATAGATCGCTTAGGCCTTCAATACCATCATTGAAGGCTTTAAATAGGTTTCATACAGTTCTAGGATATAACGATAAATAACTACCTAAGTACCAAAAAAAATTTTTATTTACCCAAAACGAATATCGATTAGAACAAAATATAAAATAAAAACAAATTTTAAAATGTCTTATACATTTTACGTATTAAACCTAACTGCAAGAATGAGAATGAGACTTATAAGCTGTTAGTCGTTTTTTAAAGTGGGTTTCAAAAAGATTGCTGCGGGTGGATATAAACCTTTTTACCTTATTTACGTCTCTCGGGAGTTTTAAAAATAATATAATAATACTTGACAAACGCTATTCGTATTATTATTATAAATCATATTCAACCTTCCACTTAGTTTTCTTCTTAACACATTTCAAATACAACAAATTAAGATTTAACTGTATTTTTTTTTTTGTAAAATATTATATTTTTTATTTAATTGTTTATTTAATAATAATCGACTGTGCGTTCGGGTGTGAAAATTTGTCTACATCAAATACATCACTGTAAAACAATTGGATTTAGCTTGTTTACATTGAACCGCACATTTTAGTAGACGACTTTGACGACTAGAGATGTTACTTATACTATTGTAACCATAATTGCTTTCTGACAAAATGTGTACATTGTGTATAAATGTTATATTGGCATAGTTGTCGATAATAATTATTATTTTGTTCGGGAATAGTTATGTTCTGGCACTTTGCGTTTATCAGTGTACTCCGACTCGAACCGTAAACTTATTCACATAGTAGTTCATCTGGTGTAATTCGTTCTTAGTTCTCGTCATGCATATTTTGACAATTTTAATTTTGGTTCCGTGTTTTTCATTGGCGTTGCAAGGTAGAATAAAGAACAGTATTCGTAAACGACAAAATTTTTACCATAACAACTTAGTAATCAAATTGTTCTTTTTATTCCTTTACAGGGTCCTTTGTTTCTGGTGACATCATTATTTACACTACACCGGAGAGTAAGTATGAAATGTGTTTTGGCGGAAAATTTCCTTCAATTTCTTGATTTATTGGGAGAATATAGTATAGTTCAATCAATAATTCTATCAAGGGTGGAAACCCCTTGTATAATTACAAGTATTTTATATATTTTTGGTGTGTAAAAATTGACTGCTACATCTGTATATAATAACTGGTACCGTAGTCAAAAAATGGTGTATGAATTTATATTGATGTATCCAATCTAGACGAGATAAGATGATAGGTAGGTCATAGATTAAGACATGAAAGTTTATTGAAAACAATAATCTAGGGAGACGTTGTTGAGTGTATGACTTAAATTATTATGAAGGACACGAAGAAGAAAAAATACAATATGACCTTAAAGAATTGACTAGCTACAGAAAGGAGACACGGAGAGATGCAATAAACTAATCTTAGGATTAATGACGGAAATAGAGAAGATCAGGAATGGAATGAACAATTAATTAAGAATGGAAAACTCCTAATTTTTACAAAAAAAAAAAAACTTTATTCTATCCGTATACAAATTTGATAACTACTCATTTTCATTAAAACATTTCGATGTGCATTTAAATTAAAATTATTTGATAAAAAAAGCCAAAAATACTGCAATTTTTATCGATATCCCGGCGGCTTTTTTATACTTCTGAATTATTATTTATACAAATGTAATTTTAATATTTTTCGGAAGCAAAATTACTGTTCTCGACTATAATGTACAATATACGAAGGCACGAAAACACACGTGTACATAAATAGCAATAACAACTGTTATTTTGTGGTTTATAAAAATGTCTTTATGTATGTATTGGTAAAAGTTTTTTTGACAATGCCGTTGCCCATTTTTTGACTTTATCATTCTTAATAATTAATTAATAATAGGTTTGTATGTTATATTATATTAAATATATTTGTGTAATGATAATGATAAATATATTGTGTTAAATTTTGAGTTCGTTTTCCTATTGCTTATCTAATTATATTTATAGCACTGTTACAGAAATATCTCATTTAATTCAAATCATAGTTAATATTATTTGTAAATTATACTCAACTTTGTTTCATCTAACATTGGTTTTAATAAATTAAAATACTAATATAATTGATGTCGCTCTTTCAACTTACAGTCAACACTTATATTTTACATACTATTATTGTTTGGAATATGCATTTGTTTTATTTCAGACAGCGAATTATTGGCAATCGATACCGGTAAAATACATACATACGTAAAATATATACCCATTAAAGAACCATATTTTAATCCATATTTTTTTTAAATTATTATAATTTGTTACAGAATCGTCTCGTCTACCCGAGGGTGCAAGTAATATTACTATACTTTATAATATTTATACTGAACTTCATTTCACTTATAATTGGTGTAAATTCTGAATTGAAATACTGTGTGAGAGATTAGAGTGCGGTTCAACAGTTGTTTTCAAACAAAATCATGCCAGACTACCCTCTCATTTTTGTCAATCTTATATTTTTGTTTGTTTTATGGGCTCTTATTTACTGTATTATTGAATTAAACTGAGAGAACTGTAACTTGTAGAATTTTTTATTAAAAACTTTTGAACGCAATACGTTAATATTTTCCAAATTTAAACAAAACACATCAAATGATGAACTCTTTTTTTATAACAAAACAAATAGAAGAAACTTATGCCGACAATTAATTTTCATCTGGCTCCTGATTGGAGATAAAACTTAAGGACAGGTTAATAGGTTCAATTAGGCGCTAAGGGGGAGGAAGAATAAATTGAGGTGGTGGTAGTATGTTAAGTGATGGAGCAAGGCAAAAAGAACAGTTATTTGGCTGTAATTAAGATTTGATAGAGATCTGAGAAAGGGCAATGTTTGCATGTAGGAATATGTGGCAGATGACGTGGACTGGATGTTGATAACTAGAGCGACCAATTCTTCTTTACTGAGTGTACAAGAGAAAGAAAAACGAAAGAGAGCAGGATATAATTGAGTTTGATTTTCTGAAAAACCTAGGCAAATCTTTTGTGTTTTTAATTTTAATAACTCCAATTTTGTAATGTATTTGGAATTTCGTTCTATTTTTATAGTGACAGAGTTCATTATAGATGATAAGTGAGTAATGAATGTTTTTTTTTTGTGTTTCATTACAATAATGTTTTAATGTTGCTATACGTAAGATAGTAAATCTACCAGATTGATGCCTAAAGATGCATATTTGTTTTTTAGCGATGAATTCTACGATGCAGCGCTTGAGGCTTTTGGTTATATGGAAACTGATGGGATCCAAGGGTTACTTCGAGTAGTACGGTTAGCTATTACCACGACCCCTTAGATTTTTGAAGCTAATAATGTTACTCAACAAATACTAACGTTTTTATTGCAGGTTAATTATTGATCGCAATATTCAACAAACCCTAGCTCAATGAACTGGATTTCATGTAAATAAGTCGTGTAACGGTTTATCTCTGATAGCAATATAATAAATAGTACATTAAAACAAAATTAATATTGTTTTTTTTTTGAGCTCATGTATGGTCCGAAAGGGTATTATAATTTGAAATTCTTCCAGCGGTATTTTATTAAAATGTTTAAAAAAAATATATTTTCTGCTCATTAAAAATATCAACAACCGCTTTGCCTTAAAAAATATCTCTGTAATTTTTTTTTAATGGTAATTGTTATTGTGTGTGCAATTTAAAATGGCTTAGGAGTGGTGTATCACCGATCTATAGGATTAATGTAGAATTTAAGTGGTCACACGGGACAAAAGATATAATAAATCAAAGTAATCCAAGTACTTGGAGCAATAAAACAATTTTTCTCTTAATAATAAAACAGAAATTAATTTACTTTAAACCCACAAATCTTTATATTGCAATATATTATATCATCTTTAATAAAATAATAAACAACTATAATTTAATACCTAAAAAATGAACTAAATCGTATATATTAAATCATTTAAATAACAACTCATGTCTTCAGTACTAAAAATATTAATATTTGTTGAGATTATGTTACATATATAATAATTATTGTACAAAGTTAACTGTTGGTGAAAATAAAAAGTAGTAATAAAAACGTTGTTAAATCCTTTTAAAATGTTTGTGGCCAGATTAGATTCATGTTATTTTTAAAGTATTAATATCATCCTATATTTTGTTGTATAGAATTAATCGATTCCATACAGTTTTACGATACAACAACTATGTACTAAAAGCATTTGAAACTATACAAAATGAAAATTGTTTAGAGCAAAATTATTGTTTAGTTATTAGTTTATTATTGTATTAGTGGAAATATAATATTTTTTACAGGTAAAAAATATATTGTATAATGTGACTGGATTGTTTTATCTTTGAACTGTAAAAAAGGAATACATTTAAAAACATATTTTGTTTTTCTACTTGGCAGATATTGACCATTATGTATTCAAATTGCAATAGACTTGTGATTAACCGAAACGTTTGCCATTTCTTGTTTACTTAAAGTACTACCCGTTTGATGTAATCATCAACTTGAACAGCTCTGTTAGAAATTCTTATTTTTGTAATCTCAAATTAAATATCGTTTGTCTTGTCTAATTAAAACATATAATATGCACATCACGATGGAAAAATACAGAGCTGTGAGTAATAATAATTCAGTAAATAAAAAAAAAAACGACTTTTGTACGGTATTCTTTTGGTATAGTTCTACTATTGTTTGGATATTTCAAGGGGTGAAATTGTTTCATTTTAGGCCCAATAAAGTGCTTTTAAAGTGCGATTTCCGATCCAAAGACTGGCTACACGAGAAAATCGTTTCGGCGGCTTAGAACCAGACACAAAAAAACAAAAATAAAAAAACACTTCATTACAAAAACAAACCTTTTCGGGTACGCGGCGAAGCTAAAAACTATAAAACGGTTTAAATCTTTTTTCGCGGTAATCCAACATTAAATTTTTCCCTCTTTCAATAATAATTTCATAAAATGAATCAGTTATTTGTGAAAGGGCAAAAGTCATGGTTATCAAATGCATCGTTGAATAACAATAGTATACATTTCATGGACGACCTAAAGCGGTGCTTAGTGGCAGGTACATTGTGACTTGATCACAGGACACAAAATATCTATTTTCAGAGATACGAGGTCTGTCATAATCTAATTTAGTCAACAATCGCCAATTATGTGTGGTTTTTTTTTTAATTACTCATTCGGATGTTCCCTAAATATTATGTCACTAGATGTACTGATGACACAATAAGATACTTATATTATTTACCCACTAATCGTTCACGACACTCTGCCTTAAGTTTTCTTATATGAACATTGAACAATGAGCGAGAGTGACAAACACTTGAAAAGACTATTAATAATAATATGTCTTATGATTTTTAACAAACAAATATTATATTAGTTATGTATGTAACAATATGTTGGTCATTTTTTTCGGGTTCAAGTAAATTAAGTCAACTAAGTTATGTATTCTTTTTAAACACACCGTTGGTGATACCATATTTTAAATAAAATATTAGGTACATTATTTACTTACTTTTCTGCGCCTTTGGTAAATTATGTATGTACATTTTAATAATGCTTAGGTATATATATATGTATAAAATTATATGTACACAACTTTTTTAATGATGTCAGCCGTTCTTAAGTTTCACTGCCATAAATTATTATTAAATAAGCAACTCTCAGGGGTTATTCTTGTTAGCCTCTACTTCAATAGTTTGGTAATAAAAAATTGAAATTTAATATTCTAAAATATATGCAAAAGCCAAAGCTATAGAAAATGTTTTATGGGTTCGTCTCAAATGAATTTTCCATAATATCATATTTTTAGGTAAAGATTTTTCTCCCCGGTTCTATTCATATAATAATAACAGTCAATAAATATGAATTTTATACAGCCAGTAGAGAAAAAAAAAAGAACGTTCTTACGGTAATGAGCAGCGTCTCGAGTTCTGCGCACATCTCCAAGATTAGTAAATATTGATAAACAGTATATTTACTCACCTGAAAAAAAAATATACAAATATATATTATAATTTATACATTATTGCGTTTAAAATAAATACTGCTAAAAATGTATAATAATTCTGCGATTTAATTTAACGCTAATCTTTGACCACTGTGATGATAATACAAAATAATGGAAGTAGTGTGCAAACAGTTCCCTCACAAGTTAGGGATTACTTGGTAAAAAAAAAATTTAACACAAAACATTATCATAACAATAATAAGCGTATCTTTTGTTTTAATCTTATAAATAAGCTATCTTAAAGGGTTTAAACCGTTTGTCGATGACGAGGACTCATTCAATGTTATAAATTGGTTACATTTTTACAATTTATGGAAATTTTACAGCTGTAAAGTCGAAAAAATATCACACCAGCTTAAGCATAATATAAATAACAATGTAATAATAGTTTTTCATTCATAATTACCAAAAGCCGTATAAATTTTACTATATTTTTGCTTTTTTAGGAAAGTCGCTTTTGTAGGTAAAAATTTGATAAAACTTGAGTCGATTATTTGACAACTAAAATAGTCGAATAAATCTGTACTTTGTACTTTAAAAGAACAAAAGACGATTTTCGCCAAATAACTAAAAAGACCATTAAGCATGTAAATTAAAAAAATCTTTAATAATTCATGGAAAATATGGCACTCACGGGACACAAATTGAAAAACTTTTAACGAGTTTTGTACCAAAATGAAGAACACGGCTGTAATGTTGAAATCTAAAAACTCACTGTTTCACTCATTGGTTGAAAATTAAGTCGGCTTTTAACCCGAGGTATGAAAATATATCTGTTATGTCTATCTTTCATCTTACACCAGGCGCTGACTTCTTTAATAGTATAGTAAGTACTGTGTGGATAGATAAGATTGAAAATGGCGGTAAGGTTAGGTTAGGTCAGGTGGGGTCGGATAAAATTAGATAGAAATTAATAAATCAGTAAATCAGTTTGAGAGTAACTCCAAAAGTGCATAAAAAAATACATATATAAATATATATGGGTCGTTAATTTTAAATTTGGTGTAATTCCAAATTTTTAAAATATACATATTTGTGATTAATTGAGTCGCACCAATAAATGCAAAAATAAATACAAAATAGAAAACTGTGAATGAACACGTCTTGTATTGCTTTTCATACACATTAATTGACAAAAAGCTCGTTATTTCAAAATGTCTTAAGTATAATTCTTAACACATAATATGATAAGTTTTATGGCCGGGAGTCGGTTCAAAATTTGCAGGGCGCACACGAATTGCCTCTTTTTCTCTTTGTAACTTTTAGGGTCATAAACTACCATTTAGTAAAATGTCTATGGTCTTGACGAATACACATCAAATAAAAGCTACATCGGAAATGGTAGTGCGTGAATGACCGGCTAAATTGGTACAAAGAGAGTTTAGTGAAAAGAGTTAAATCCTTAAGAGTTTCTGTTTGAATTATTGTTTATGTATTTTGTTTTACAGAAACAAAAAGAACTATTGATCCAACGTAAGAACTAATTTAATTTTAAATTAAAAACCTAAGGTCATTTTTTTTGTTAAATTACAAATTACAATCATAATATGTTATATTTATTTTATCTATAAATATATCGTTTAAAACTAAAAGTTTTTTACTACTCATAAATCGACAAATCTTAAAAATTTTAAAGATCATTTAATGTTTTTACTAAACAACATTTTTTTACAATTCATTCGTTTGTTTTCTATGGAAATAAACACTCGTCGACATAAAAGGTGTATCGTTATGATCTATAACATTCTAATTAGCATACAACACTAAGTTGACGATTTATCATGAATAATTGTATTTATAATCTTTTTAATTATACTAAAATGCCAAATGTTCCATACCGAATACAAGATGGTAGAATAAAAAACTAGTAATTAAATAATACATATACCTAATATACATCGTCTCTACCCGAATGCGCAGGTAAGATTTTTATTTATAAGTTATACTCAACAAAATAAATAGTTATGGCTGTAATTAAGATTTTATTAAAAAATTCCGAGAAAGTGCAATGTGTGCGTGGAGACAGATGTGACAGATGATGTGGACTGTAAATTGATAACTCGAGGGTGACCAATTCTAATTGGCTGAGTGAATAAGAGAATGAAGAAAAAAGAAAACAGGATAAAATTATTGAGTTTGATTTTCTAAAAATTGAGGCAAATCTTTGGTTTTTAATATATACAATTTTGTAAAGTAATTGAAATTTCTTTCTATTTTTATAAAAGAAGATGTCAATATAACGGTGGAGTAAGTAATGA